ATGATATCCTTAAGAAACAATACATATCAGAAAAAGAAATGGAGTTTCTGGTAGATCAAGTTACAAGTGAAGTTGGATATAAAATGTTAATAGATGATATTTTTATTAATCATTCTTTTAACGAAGAACATTTTCTCTAATTAAGAAAGAAAAAAGACGCTTTTTTTGAACGAAAAGATAGTAAGTTAGCAGAACAGTCAAGTAGTGCTGGTCAAAGTGCTACGATAGACAATATTTTTACGGACCTTCAAGAAATGGAAATTAGTGGACAGGATAATGTCGCTCCTTGGCAAGAAATACTCAATAGACAAGAACCTATTACAAGGGCAGAATTTCATCAGGGTTTGAATAGTATTAGAGATAAAAGTCTTTTAACAACATATTGTAATGGGGTTAGAAGAGGGAGGCGTGCACGTGGTGTTACTCATGACTACATGGTTAATCAGTATGCAATTAAAGCTCGTAAATTAGAGCAAGGTATGTTATATTAAGGGGACATAAATATATAATTAGTTATTCTTGTTTTGTTTTTTTATTTTCTTTTGTGGGATGGCTAATTATTAAGAAACAAATTATCAAAAGGGAAAACATGAATAATTATTTTAGGATTTTAGATCATTCCTTATCTGATAATATTTACATAAGGCTATTTGGTTAGAAAGAAAAATATATACAGTCAGACCTCCATAATTGCACACCCCTTGGGACCATATGCATAATTTTCAAAATAGTGCATTTAAAGAGGGTGTGCATTTATAGAGGTAAAATAATTAGAGATCATATAAGCTTGGGACCGAACCAGAGGGTGCATTTAGAGAGGGTATACATCTGTCTCTTATACACATCTAGATGTGTATAAGAGACTCATTCTGTATCCGATAGTATATACATACAGCTTTTTTAATAAAGAAAGAATCATACATGCACGTTATTTATAACGTGTAGTAAAGGAAAAAAAGCAGTGCGGTATTAGCGGTAAAGATAAAAAAGCTAAGTCACATAGTAAAAGCACTGAAGTGGGTGTTAAAAATGTTGGCTGTAATATGTTAGAAAATAATTGGAATAAATGGAATGATTTGGCATTCCATCGTGGTGGTCATTGGGTAGATCATGAGTCGACTTGTTCTTTATGAAAAGTAGTCTTGTTTCATAATGCTTAATTCTTATATGTATTTGTTTATCTTATATTTTGTAAGTTTATATAATGATTATAATAGAGTTTTTTTTAAAAAAAAAAAAAAAAAACGTGAAAAATCATTCTTTTAAACCATTTAATATGTTAAGTGAATCTATGAAAATAAAACGGTCTTGTTCATTTTCTATACATATAGATACAATATTTCAAAATGAAACTCTGAATTTCTATAATTTAAGTGACCAGCCAGTTTTGCAAGAAATTCGATTTAATGTTTAAAATAAGAATTATTTGGCTAATTATTGTGATAAAAATGAAAAAAAAATCAACGCATTGATGCATTTACAAAAGTTATTGATCAAGGGCCAATTTTCTGAGATGCTTACCGAAATTTAGCTGCACTTCAACCTGAGTTACCACGAGACTGTGTCATCTTAAATGCTAGAAAAAGAATTAATGAAAAAATGAGTCAAAAAATTCCTATTTCTATTTTAAATATTAAACATACACCTTTTGCATTAACAATAAATGAAGCTCCTGATATTGAAGATCAAAAAATTGTAAAAGAGGTATTACAATATATTGGTAAAGCAGGTTATAGACGTATTTCAGACATTTTACTTTTTGTAATTCCAGATCTTGTAAATTGAAATATTCTTAATCCAAATGATCCTATAATTCATGTACAAATATCAGGTGATGGGCGTAACATAGGTAGAAAAGTGAAACACATTAGGGGCTGTCTCTTATACACATCTAGATGTGTATAAGAGACAGGGTTATAGACGTATTTCAGACATTTTACTTTTTGTAATTCCAGATCTTGTAAATTGAAATATTCTTAATCCAAATGATCCTATAATTCATGTACAAATATCAGGTGATGGGCGTAACATAGGTAGAAAAGTGAAACACATTAGGGGACTGCCAGAAATGACATCATTTTCTAAGGGAGGGAGGGGGTTAAGACCATGATGATATTACACATCTTCCATTTTTAGACACTTGTAGTTAATATAATTCTAGCCAGAATTATGTTTTAATTTTACATTTCCTAAAATGAATGATGACATGGGGAGGGGGGGGGGGTCAAAAATCCTAAAATTTAAATTACGTCATTTCTGGCCATCCCCTTATGGTTACTTGTACCATTTTAGATAATATATTGAATATTCGTAAGGCTGACTTTTACTATACAACTATTCTATATCCAGGTGTAGAGAATTATGAGACATTACAAAATGTAATGGAACCAATAATTAGTAAATTGCACAATTTAGTAATTAATGGTCTAATAGATCCAAATGGAACAAAATGGAAAATTGAACCTTACTTTAGTAGCACAAAAAAAGATATTGGCAATAGAGATAAAATCCACAAAATTGAAAAAAATATGAACCAGATACATAAATCTGAAAATCAATTTGATGATAATATTAAAAGAATTATTAGTGTGGAGATGCAAAGAATATCGGTAAAATTTCATTTTTGGCAGGATCATATTACACAAAGTTGGTCTTACATATCTTTAATGGGGGGAGATAAAGAGATTGTTTTGCAAAATTTTAATTTCAAAGTCCTTTTTAATATAGAATGTGCTAATCTTATTAATCAGTTATAAAGAGATTTTTACGCACGAAAACTGATTCTGCACTTTTTGCAATTTAAGCAAAAAAATGGCTTGATTTATTTCTTACACCATATCACTAAAAGATATTACGCCATACATGCACATAGGTATTTTTGATTTGCAGTATTTTTATGTGCAGGAGTTAAAAAAAACCATGATCAAGTTTCAGTTTTTTTAGAAAAACAATAAAGGACGGTGGTAAGGGTATAGAAAGAAAATCTGCTATTTTTGAAATTCTTTATTATGAAAATCGGTTCATGTATACTCTCTGGTAAAAAGTATCTGACCACCCTATCGATCATTGCTGATCATTTCCATTAAAATTAAAATTACGCCAATACTAACTACACTCCCTGGCCAAAAGTTTAGGACCACGTAATTATATGCATAAAATGCAACTTAAAAAAAAAATTTTATTATTGAAATATAATAATTTAATAATTATATATAAATTACTGATTTATACTTAGAACTTGGAATTTATAAAATTTTAATTTCAAGTAAAATTGCAATCAGCAAAATATTATTAAAACTAAGATTGGAATTCGGTTCTTCTATTTGGAAGGATTAAAATAAGCTAAATTTTTTGAAAATCAGACCAGTAAATAGGAAGAAATTGATCATCAAAAATTGCTAATTTACATATGGAAATTGATAATGTAAATCATTGTATATGTAAATTGACAAACTTTAAAAATAATGTTTTCATTAACTACTAATCTGATTTTTACAAAATTTAGCTTATTTTGATCCTTTTAACTGAAAGAATTTAAATTTTAAAAGTATTTGCTAAAATGATTCTTCTCAATATTGTATAAAATTTTACTAAATACAATTACAAATATAATTAGCAATTTTTTAAAATTGTTATTTAATATCAAATTATCAATTAATACAAAATAAATGTAAAAAAAATTTTAAGTATTTTATTATTGTATTTAAGTTGCATTTTATGCAACAATTATTATAAGTTTGCAAATATAGGGGTGGTTCTAAACTTTGGCCAGGGAGTATATAGGTTTATTGAGAATAACACTAGCCTTTCCCATATGTGCACCCACAAGTGTGTTGCCAAGTTGACGAGCATACTTGAAGGAGGGCTTGCGGATTTTCTTAAGGAATTTCTTCTCATCATTTTCATTGATCATTCTCATAAGCTTGACATCCTGATATTTACGTACATTCTCCATAGTCTTTCCATAAACAGAATTATTCATGAGTTTAAAGAAGTCTTTCTCAAATGAATTCTTGGATTGTTGACGTAAATTTGTATTTTTTGCAATATAAGGAGCTAACCAGTTATCTTGATCAAATGATAGGACTTGTGTAATCTCATCTACAACCATGCCTAACTTAATGTAATACTGGAGCTCTTGGTAATGTATGACATAATCTTCATGTTTACCAAGATGTGGAACTAACTTCTCTGTTTCAGGAAATCGCCCTCCATCTAAGTTATCAACAAGTTTGGTTATATATGGGCTTAACCTATCCTTTTTTACAGCTATACTATCAACTGCAGGAGGTAAATCTTGTAGATAATCATGAGTCTTAAGGGGGCTTTTCTTAATAATAATACAAAAAAAAAATGTTTTCAGCGTTTTTTTAATAATTTTATATGAAAAAACACCAAAACATTTTTTCTTAATAATAATACAAAAAAAAAACGTTTTAGCATTTTTTTACATATTTGACCCATCTGACCAGAAATATTATGTCAGGTCAAACAGGTCAACGGGTCAGGTCATGAATTTAATGACCCAACCCAAAATTTTCAGGTCAACCCAACAGGTCACCCGAATTGACCTGACCCGTTCAGAACACTAAGTAGGAGAGTCAATATAATGTGATGCTGCTTAGATGCAGTCATAGGAGGGGATTCCCATTGAAGTCTGAATAAGCATCCGCAATGGCTCTCAAGTATACATAGAATGCCTCACTAACGCCTGGACATTTTATAACGTCACTGAGTTTTTTGAAGTATTTCAGGTTTTCCTTGCGGGAAGGTGACATATCCAAGAACACAGTACGCCTGTCATCGTTCTCCACTCTGAGAGCATTTTCATTGGTGAAGACAATGGTGGATATAAAGTTTTTGTAATGTGTTGGCGTCATATTTTTCATGGATTTCTATTATGTTGCCTGTTACCTTATCCTTCAACGATCGATACAGATTATTCCACTGGTTTTTTTCTGTGGGCATTTCCTCGAGAAGAAGAAAAATCTTACCCTGTAATTGCCCATTGAAATTTTTAAGAATCGTCTGAAAATCTCTGGTCTTATAAACGAGTTGAGTGCCTAGGATACTGCGTTGAATGAAATCTGTTATAATACTCTTATCCTAACCCTATCCAGATTTCAGGTAGAGAATCGAGTACATCTTCCTTTCAGTGGATACACCAGCCAACCAGTTGATGATATACTCAGTAAAATTCCAATCGCCTGAATACCAGATATCCTGAACGTGAAAAAAGATAAATTTAACCGCCTGATGGGTTATAGACTCAAAGGTGGATATTGGACGCAGGATATGGAGAAATCCTAGGAAGATATTAAGATAAAGTTGGCCACCTAGCTTAAAGATACGGGATTTTTGAAGGTTACAGGTAGCTACACATACAGTACTGTATTTGACCATAAACCATTTGTTGATATTGAATTCAACCTTTTGTGAAGGACCTTGTTCAGATTGTATGTAAAAGACTTTGGTAATTGGACAGATAAGTTTACTAATATTTTTATCAAGGATATGTTCAAGATACTTGATTTCTGACCACCACATGAAGATTCCATGTGGGTTAGAGGAGGGGATAAAGTAACTGCAAAGATAACGTTTAGCTTGATCAAGGTCACTCATACTTTTAGCAGCGTTAATGAGCTGTTTAAGCTCATCTATACTGAAGGCTTTCTTTTGTTCACCAAATTTGGGAATAACTTGAGCTTGAATGCTAGTTTTGGCAGTCATTTTTTCATTCTATCAAATTGAGTACTAATTTATAGTTACCTAATCTTCAATTGCCGAATATTTTTTCCAAAAATCTGCACTTCTACCTGGTTATCCTGCGGTTCTGCGGTTCTGCGGTCTTCCAGTCATACCTGGTTATCTTATAGGGGTAAAAAAAAACTATAAACTACAAACCTTTACGACTGCTCTAAATCTTCCCTTCCTCTTTTTCAATCCACATATATATTAAATCCAAGCTGCTCAAAAGCTAGTCTTACCATAATTTGCTCTTTTCTAGCTTCCTCATATGATTGACCAAGAGCATCTTCCGCTTTTTCTTTCTTTTCTACTGTCTGTTTATAAGCCTTCTCAGCTTTCTCATGCCGCTTCCACAACTCAGTTTTACAACAGTTGTATCAGAGTCTGTTTATCTTGAGGTGCTTTCTGAATTCTTTGATCAGAAGGTTTCTGATCATCTCCGCTACTATGTTGGAATCGTTAAGAGGTGAAACCTGCATTTGGGTCTATTTACGGATTCCATAGATATCTACAAGATCGAGTCCGAGATCTTTAGCAAGAGAAGTGGTGATATGCAAGTTCATCATATGCATATTTCGTGTTAAGTATTCTTATATATTACTTATGGTTTACCATTGTTCAATTACTTATTTTTTCTGACGAGGATAGGATGGGGTTAGTCTTACTGGCTCTACAGAATTTCTAGGGGCTTACCTGTTAATCTACCTGGTTTGCTGTCTCACTGCTTCCATTAGGAAAACTAATGGAATCCTGTACATGTAGAAGATGTTTCAGATGTAGAGGATCTGGGGGTAAAATCAAAACTTTTTTCTGAGGGAATCCTCTCCCAATATTTTTAAAACATCCTCCACATCCTCCACACTCTTCTGATTCCCTCTTATTTTCTTCTCTTTTTCTTTATTTTATCCTTTTTTGGTATATATTTTTGTGGAAGATCTATATGGAGGATTGTGGAAAATATATGGGGGATGCCTGAGCCCCGTAGGGGCCATGTAGGTACTGCAAGGCCATAAGGCTGAGGTGGAGGAACGTAGTGACTACACATCCAGCCTGACGACCATTATAATATCAAAACCAAAGAATTTATAGCGAACAATTCAATGGAAAATGGTGGGAAAAGATTATACATGCCACCCAAATTATTTTGGACTGCTGTAATTATAAGTAAAATCCCAAATTCAATTATGACATCCCAAATTATTTTGGCACTTTACATAGTAAATTATATATAAACTGGATGAATTACGACATCCCAAATTATAATTATGGCATCCCAAAATAATTTGGGCAGCATGTATAAAAAAGATGCAAAAAACACTCCCCAATACAGCAAATGTTTTATCAATAATTCTTTATTCTGACGCCACTACTTGTAACCAGGAAAGTTAAGCAAACACCCAGTGTACTTGACTTTGGGGAATATATCCAACTGGCGTCAGAATAAACCTGATGCTAAAGTCCTTTTCTGCTATCTTCCAATGTTAAAAGCAAAAACAAATTCAGAAAAAAGATTGAGAAGTTTTTTGCTGGCAAAAATAGCTTTGTTTCAGTATGCATTTGACGTCATAATGCATTCACTCTTGTCATACAAAGATCGGGCTTTGACTTACAAACAAATAATGGAGATATGTAGTATTTTCTGCATATATCCACCTTGTTAGGAGATCTTTCAGAAAATACTACACAAACATTAACATACTCAGTTAATAGTAATCATTCTTGTCACAAATGTTTAATTTCTGGTGAAGATCTGAATAATTTAAGATTGAGCAATAATCAAATAGAGTTAAGAACACCAAAAATGATGATAGATATTTTATATCAGTAACCTGCACATCAAAATTCGATGTACAACATGAACAATATCTTTTGGAAATACCCATAAGTTATTTTTATCATAATTAATTAATAAAATATATTAATAAACTAACCGTACAATGTAATTCTTTAGTCAACTTGATATATATTTGGCAAAATACCCAGACAGAATGCACCACCTTGACTTAGGCTTGTATAAATATCAAGTAATTTATACATGAGAAATGTTGAAAAATATATGTGGTTAAGCAGCAGTTGATAAGCTTGACGAACAATTAGCCACAATTCCTAGGTAGAGGTATGCTTCGAATCCAGTCAATCCGGATATCTGGTCATCCATCTGAATCATCGGATATCCGGTCAATACTTGCTCACCAATTTGACCGGATGGTTGACCGGATATCTGAATAATCCGGTCAATCCGGTGAATCCGGTGAATCCGAATTCAGTTTTTTCTACTTAATACTTTTTATTAATATTAATTAACAATTAGAATTTTATAATAATAAACATAGTATTTATTTTTACTTTATTACAAATGATTTTTAACAAATTAGTTGACACAATATTTATAAAAAGTTTAAGATTTAGATGTCCAAGAAGGTGTCTCCCTAAAAAAAAGAAGCAAAAGGAACGTTAATTACGTTCCTAAAAACAAAAAAACAAAAATACCTTTCCCCCAACTTACCTTTATAATCCATGCCTAAATCCAGTTCCAAGAGGCGTCCTCCTAAAGAAAGAAGCAAAAGGAACGTTAGTTACGTTCCTAAAGACAAAAAAAAAGATAAAAAACCCTTCCCCAACTTACTTTAATAGCCCAAGCCAAAATCCAGGTCCAGGAAGGGCGTCACCTAAAGAAAAGAAGCAAAAGGAACGTTAATGATGTTCCTAAAGACAAAAAAAAAACAAAAATTACCCTCCCCAACTTACTTTAATAGCCCAAGCCGAAATCAAGGTCCAGGAAGGGCGTCACCTAAAGAAAAGAAGCAAAAGGAACGTTAATTACGTTCCCAAAGAAAAAAAAAACTCAAAAATAACCTCCCCAACTTACTTTAATAGCCCAAGCCGAAATCCAGGTTAGGAAGGGCGTCACCTAAAGAAAAGAAGCAAAAGGAACGTTAATGACGTTCCTAAAGACAAAAAAAAAAGATAAAACAACCTCCCCAACTTACTTTAATAGCCCAAGCCGAAATCCAGGTCCAGGAAGGGCGTCACCTAAAGAAAAGAAGCAAAAGGAACGTTAATTACGTTCCCAAAGAAAAAAAAAACTCAAAAATAACCTCCCCAACTTACTTTAATAGCCCAAGCCGAAATCCAGGTCCAGGAAGGGCGTCACCTAAAGAAAAGAAGCAAAAGGAACGTTAATTACGTTCCCAAAGACAAAAAAAACTCAAAAATAACCTCCCCAACTTACTTTAATAGCCCAAGCCGAAATCCAGGTTAGGAAGGGCGTCACCTAAAGAAAAGAAGCAAAAGGAACGTTAATGACGTTCCTAAAGACAAAAAAAAAAGATAAAACACCCTCCCCAACTTACTTTAATAGCCCAAGCCGAAATCCAGGTCCAGGAAGGGCGTCACCTAAAGAAAAGAAGCAAAAGGAACGTTAATTACGTTCCCAAAGACAAAAAAAACTCAAAAATAACCTCCCCAACTTACTTTAATAGCCCAAGCCGAAATCCAGGTCCAGGAAGGGCGTCACCTAAAGAAAAGAAGCAAAAGGAACGTTAATTACGTTCCCAAAGACAAAAAAAAACCCAAAAATAACCTCCCCAACTTACTTTAATAGCCCAAGCCGAAATTCAGGTTAGGAAGGGTGTCACCTAAAGAAAAAAAGCAAAAGGAACGTTAATGACGTTCCTAAAGACAAAAAAAAAAACAAAAATTAATTTCCCCAACTTACTTTAATAGCCCAAGCCGAAATCCAGGTTAGGAAGGGCGTCACCTAAAGAAAAAAAGCAAAAGGAACGTTAATGACATTCCCAAAGACAAAAAAAACCCGAAAATACCCTCCCCCAACTTACCTTTATGAAATCCAAATCCGGGAAGGCGTCTCCTAAAGAAAAAAAGCAAAAGGAACGTTAATGACGTTCCCAAAGACAAACAAAAAATCAAAATTACCCTCCCCCAACTTACCTTTATAGCCCAAGCTGAAATTGAGTTCCAGGCAGGCGTCCCCTAAAGAAATGAAGTAAAGGAACGTTTAGTGACGTTCCCAAGACAAAAGAAAAAGAAATTTACACTTACTTTTCAAAATTCAAGCCGTCCAAGTCATTCCGAAGTCCAAGTCCAAGTCCGTCCTAAAGAAAAAAAGGTGTTTTTTTTTAAAAAAAAATATTTATGTTAAAAAAAAAAAAAAAAAAANGTTCCGAAGTCCAAGTCCAAGTCCGTCCTAAAGAAAAAAAGGTGTTTTTTTTAAAAAAAAAACATTTATAAAAAAAAAAAAAAAAAAGTTATGAATTTGACCAGATTATCTGATCAATCTGGTCAATCCGGTCATCCGTGTAACATCCGATCAATCCGATGTTATCTAACGGATCCATCCGGATTATCCGCAATCCGTTCATTCTTAATCTGGATGATCCGTTTTTTGATTGGATCGGATGACGGATTGAACGGATTTCACTGGAGTACACCTCTATTCCTAGATTTCTGGGGCTCAAAATTTTCAAACATGGCTTAAAAATATCAAGTTATTCACAGCTAATGAATATCATAGTATGATGAAAGTATTTCTTTTTGTAATTAAAGGGTTGATAATAAAATATAGCATAGAACAAAATTCCAAAAAACAAGATGATACATTGGTTGATGTTTATTATCGATGGAATAAAATGTATTTATTTAGCTGAAAGGAATACTTTTTGAAATCAGAACTTATGGAATTTAAGGTATTTTTTTAAGTGCATTTTATTTACTTTGGCTATTGATATATATTTTTATTCATCAGGAAATTTGTTTAGGCGTAATTTAGTGTAATATTTTGAAGGTAGTGTAAAATTTTGAAATATTACACTAAAAACGTAATATTACAAAAGTTTACGCTCTTAAATTTAAATAATTATAGTAATTTAAGAATATCTCGTCATCTACTGATCCAATCAAGACGATCTATAGC